ATGTTCCCATCCCAAACTTAAAAGTGTGGGTTTGATGAGGTTTCCTGACCTCCTGGAACCTTCATGGTCGCCAAATAATCTCCAGCTAGGTGGAGTTTCTTCTTGTTACCCCTGCTTGCAGTCTTTATGCTAAGCTAAGCTGGATTTAACAGACAGTGTCTCAGTAAATGTAAGGACAACAGCCCAGCATGAAGCGCTGTTTCGTAGAAAGCAGCAGCCTGTACCTAAACGGCATGTAGCCTGTGCTGTTTCCTGCTATCAGAGTCCTGTAGGCATCTTCTGGGCTTCTCTTCAGATACATCACCTACAGGGCAGAGTTAAGCTACATAACTCATAATGCACAGACAGACGGGCAATCAGATGATGTGATGGACGAATGAAAGGATATTTACAGCATAGGCACCAATCAGAACAGCAGCATTGGCTCTCTTCTTCTGGTCGTAGCTGGTGTAGTGAACCAGGCTCTTTCTAGACATTGTGAAAGACTACAAACCAATAATGATAATCAATAATCAGTGAAAACAGCACATGTGCATTAATACATTTAAAATAAGCGTCTACTGTCAGAGGAGTGCACACACACCATCAGAGCAAAGACCTTTCAAAATAAGAGCGTAACGCGTTTTCTAAACAAAGTCTGTACAGCAAACAAAGCCCTGAGTCTGAAGACCTTCATTACCTTCAGCTTCTTGTTGAGTTTCCAGCAGTATCTGTACAGCATGGCCAGGTTGAGGGGCCCAAAGTCTGCATAGAAACTGCAACACACAGTGAGAGAGATGGAGGAGCTCTCAACAATTACAACACAACAACACACAAAACTAAACCCACTGACAGGTGAAGACAGTGACACTGTTCATCTGGTCATAATAAAATGCTCCGTTAGAAAACCTCGGGACCTTTATCTGGATGTTTCCACCCACACAATGCAGACATGGAGTCAGAGGAAGCTCACAGCTTTGTTTCACTCAATGAAACCAACTCAAATCCTGTTTGTCTGCTGCAGAAAAGAAAACGATTACCAAGGCTGGAACGTGACAGACGAGCAGGGCTGCAAGTCCGTCTTTGTGCCTGACACCAGATTACTCATCATCATATTCAGTAAGTCGGCCAACAGCACGAATGACAGGAAGAGGATTTCAAAGATTGTCAAGCACTGAAAGCTGTCACGTCGGGGTCGACGCAGCATTTTGACTTCTCTTGCTTTGGTTTGTTTTTGAATGATCGTTTTTCATCTCTGGTGCTTTGTTGATTATTATTATTTATTGTTTCTGTGGTTCTGGTTTTGTGTTCCCATGTTTGCTGTGGGTTTGATGTGTGTCCAGTCTGCGTCTTTGTGTAGTGATGTCTTGTGTTGCCTCCCTTGTCTCCTCTCGTTAATTACTCCCACCTGTGTGTAATCTCCCCGTGTTTCTCTGAGTGCATTTAAGTCGTGTCTTCTGTCGTTGCTGGTCCGTCTGTGTATCTGCCATGTTTCACCCGTGTGTCCTGCCCCCCCTCCTTCATGTTCGTCTTCTGCTTTGTGTTTAGTAGTTTAGTTATTCCCAGTATAGTTTAGTTATTCCCAGTATAGTTTAGTT